AAAACGTAGATTCTCAGAAATCCTTAACACGGATCAACAGTATCCGATTTCTATCAATATGAAAAACAACACCGACATCTGATATTTGAGTATTATTATTTCTTGAGTTAAGAATAAGTTTTTTTTTTTTTATCTTATTTAGGTAAAGGGGATTTTTGTCTTGGAAAGACATGTCAATCCCATAGTGCTGCTAGTATATCCTAAGAAACGAGCTGGCATAATCGTACAGCCGCTTCAGATGCTGGCTCAGCCAATATTGACATAATTATGCCTACATCGGACGGGTGGAGCTTTAGCTCCCGGAAGAGTAGCTCGCGCTCCCGTCTATTTCTCTCACACTCCAACAGCAAGTGTTGGATATCTTCTGGCTTTCTGCATATCTCGCAAGAATAAGTTAACTACATAACTTTTATACTTAGGTTGTTGGACTTTTGCAATCCATATTACGAGTATATCTATCTATACAAATTAAAAGTCTGTTTGTAATATGAAAAGAAAATTTTCGGGAAGATGATGTATTTGCGTTGCTGAACGGAAACGGCTAGACCGATTTCGACCGTACTTTCACTGGTAGCTGACATTGACGGGCATATTATAGGCTACTTTTTTTTTTAAATTCCTAGCTGTCAAAATGGCGACTTGATACTGGCTGTTTGCTTGCCATTTCGTTAACGTGGAAATAAACAAATAATAACTAATAAATGTAGCCTGTGTTACTTATTGACAACGTAGCTTTTTATTGGTGAAAGAATTTTTGATATCGGTTCACTAGTTTTTCAGTTGTTTCAATACAAAAAAGTAAAAGTACAAATCTTTCCTCTTTATTTATAGAAGAAGATAGAAGATATACGCGCAACAAATGGAGTCAAAAATAAATAGAGGAGGCATAATAGTTGAGACTTTTGAGATATTATTCATGTAATCCTCACTGTTGCTATGGTATTCTGTTGATAGTAACAAAAACCTCAAAACCATATATTAATATAATTAATTTTATTTAAATTAATCGTCAATAGATGTCATTAATAGCAATTGATTCAAATATTTATATTCAATTTTTTATGTTTTATTATATGCCAATAATATGTCCTTCACATGAGGTGGCACTAAACTTGAAAACTAATATGGTACCTATCTCCTATAAAACTTATATATTAACAAGATAATTTTAACAAAATCCAATAATCATTTTCACGAACACGGAAATATATTGTTTGAGGACAATAGATAGTCGAGGAAAGTTCAGCAAAATTTCAGTCAAAGCTTAACATGAAGCTATTGTCACGTTTTCATTGTTTTCAAGCGATTTATATTTTACAATTCACACTGTTTCATACTGACGTCTCGCGTATTTATTTCAGAGAGGAAAGAGGTCTTTTTGTCTATTACCGTTTTAATATATTTTATTTATTATTGAATACTTTCACTCGCGATTCCGTCCGCGTGGAATTAAATAAAAACAAAAGTAAGTAGCCTATGTGTCCTTCCAGACTATCCTCTACATCTATGCCTAATTTCATCGAGATCCGTTCAGCCGTTTAGGCTACAAACTCTAACAAATCCATCCATCCATCTAAACTTTCGCGTTTATAATATAAGTAGGAAATAGGATGATATTAAACTATCTAACAACTGTAGTGCGGTTGTCGATTGTTTTGTAGCCCATTCAACTGTTTTGTTGCATAAATAGAAATCGACTAACCTCCATATAAGCTTATAAGAATCAAAGCGGGACTAAACAGTTGTGCGATAGTATAGAGTTGTGCGCGTGCTTTTGGACGACGTAGCTTGACCTCGACACGGACAAGTATCTTGCGACACTTTTTGACATTGATAAGGGGGTGGTGTATAATTTAGTTTGACATGTCCGCCGGGTCAGAAAACTTTCTCGGTCTATGCCAGTAGTTATGGTATGGTTTCACCATTAAAGTTGAGATTAATTAATTACAAATTAATACATTTATATTCCGCATAATTAATAAATCCAAGTTATTTTAATCACATTTACTTCATAAATTGATATTGGATAAAGTAAATTAACTTGGAGGAAAACCTATTATGACTTAAGTAATATGAAATTAATTAATTTTGTAAGGAACTTACTACAATATAATAAGGCCCGTCGTATACGAGGTTACGCAACGATTTTAGTCTCTAAGCGACTTACGTTACTTTGTACCCAGGTACGCAACGCATAACAACGCAGACATTTGACATTGTATTTCGTAAACCGCTTAGTCCCTTCGTACACAAGGAAAAGAAAACAATACTGTATGAATGTGTTGCGAGTATCGCGTAGCGTGTACAAGCAGTCTACACGGCTAACAAGAGTTTACAAAATGTATACAGTTGACATTTGGATTTGGATTTGATCCAAAATTTTGAAATTGTAGCGACTTTTCTCACGACAATCTTGATGTACAGGTTGCAAGCGACAAACTGGCGACGAAAGATCGAAATATCAGCGACGCGTGCCTGTATGTATATAAATCGATTATAAAGTCGCTTAGCGATTGAAATCGCTAGATTTCGAAGGTTTATTGCGTTATGTACGAAGAGCCTTAATATCACTTTTAATAATTTTATTTCTAAAAATATAAGCAACTTGTAAGTCTGCAAATAATTTTTTTTTTTATAACAAGGTGGCAAACGAGCAACAGGCCACCTGAATACACTAAAATGGCGAAGCGACCGCTGCCCATAGACATCTGCAATTGCAGATGCTTTTCCTACCCTTATCCAAAGGAGGAGGAGACGCACATAAAGAGGACATTTCCCCTTCCTATGCATCTCCTCCACCGTCAAATCCACTTCCTCTTCCCATCCTGTCCTTATAAGAAAAGGATGGTAAAGAGTAAGAGACTTAAATTAGGCCTCCGGCACTACACTCCTCAGACTGTACACGGAATTGCTTCCATTTGACGCCTGTCTTCTGTGTGGTCGTGATATTACTGGGGGCGTGCCGGCCCTGCAGTGCTACGATGTTAAAGCGGGCACTACCACTGTTAAACTAATTAACTACCATTTATACTTTTACAAATAATAGTTATAGCAATTACAAAAGAACAGTTCTTTTGTAGTAAGTAATTGCTACACTTTAAATTACGTTATGAATAAGCAGTTTTTTTCCGTATGTCCGCAAGACCGTATTTGTTCCTTGTTTCGCAAGTCGAATGCAACAGCTTGTAAATAAATATTAAATTGTCTCTTTATGTAACTACCGTAGCCAGTATTATCTAAATATGTAGAAAAAAATAGGAAAGAAAAAGTAAAATCAATAAAAACCTTTTTATTACCATCCAAAAAAATATACAGATATACACAAATAAGAAACATTTATGAAAATTAGTAACAGATGGCAAAAGGGGGAGGCTCAGCTAAACCAGTTGAGATCCAGTATCGAGCTGGTTTTCAGCCACAATTGGCTTTATCTAAAATCCTTTCAAATTGTTTTTATCCCTTCTTATGTGTATTGAGTCTAACGTAAATAACGCTTTCGTTTGTACTTTTTTATTCCTTACTCAAATGTCGGATCAAAGTAATCTATTTTATCATTGAATTAATAGAAAACCGATGACCCTTATACTGGTTTTCGATTGCTATAACACGCGTATAAAAACATTATTTTTTTTTAACAAATATAACTAGTTATTTGAGATTATTTTTTTTGATGAATTTCCATACCGAAAACATTAAGGTTTTAGATTGGACCAATGTGTAAATTAATCGACAATTATAGCAATTCTTGATTTGGAACAACACTATAATTTAAAAATAGATATAAATACTGGCTGATATTCAAAACTTCGTCTAAGTAGATTAAAAAAATGATAGTCCAAATTGCTCCTGTATAAATCAGATTTCAGGCCCTTCCAGTATCTCGTTTCCGACAATTAAAGTGCAACACTTTAGAGAATAAACAGCGGATTTAATCAAGGTCCATGATGAAGGTTCTGTTTGTTTCCGTTGTTGGAGCTTCGATAAATGAGTTGGAGCGATCCGAGCGTTGAATAGTTTGTTGCGATTCGCCGATTGTTTTACTGTTTACACTTTTTGCATCCGCTCTAAGCATTTAATAAATTTAACATATCTACCTAAGTATTTAACAAATCTACCTAGTAATTACGAAAAAAAACAATTAATTTAACTCCAACTTTGATATGCTTTTTTACTTATTTGACATACATACAATCTCACTTATCTAACTAATATTATAAATGCGAAAGTTTTGATGGATGGATGGATAGATTGATGTTTGTTAGAGTTTGTAGCCTAAACGGCTGAACGGATTACAATGAATTTGGCATAGATATAGAGCAGGGAAGAACACATAGGCTACTTACTACTTTTGTTTTTTAATACCACGCAGATGGATTCGCGGGCGAAAGCTTGTATTTCTATATAGATAAAACATTACGATATCAGTCAGTCCAGGGTTTTTGTTTTAATTGTTAAACATAGTTACCAATATGTAGGTATAAGCATATCAATTACTAGTAATTAAATTTTCTTTTAACCCGTTTTAGCCATCACACATATTTAATTACGAACCAACGCCACTAATTATCTACAATTAATAGAGTTGACCTATTGAAGGTTTTGAATAACATCAAACAAGAATTTATTATCACGTGAAAAGAATTAAATTGTTTTGTTAACATTAAAGGAGTAAAAATTAGCTAACTGTGGGCTACCTAGCTGATGCAATAAAAAGTATAATAGTTAACTAAGAGCTTTTGTAATTCCGTCTTCTATATTTTTAAGATTAAGAGTAAGATTTTAAAGCAGGCTTTACTACTTTTAAAACTGCAACATTACCACAACTAAGTCGTATGAAATGCATACTAAAAACATACTGTTGGTGATGATTTTTATAATTATGGGAATGCGAATTAATCTTTTTCACCAACAATTGTGTCAAAGACTAAAATAAAATCTTTTTAGCCTTTGGCGTCATTGACATTAGCAGATTTGAAATTGACGTTTTCGTTAACTGTCAGTGTCAGTTGTCACGAAAATCAACGTCAACAATCTTGAATTTCTTATTTGAGTTTGAAAATTGAGTATTTTCATTTGAACAGTCGGTTATTTCAAATAAATGGTGTATATTTGTATCTGATATAAAAATGGCAAGTGTTACTTCGTACAACAATGACAAAGTCGTCACCGGGGAGGTGGAATATCCAGCGAGTGATCCTGCATCGGGTGCTTTCTTTCAACCTGATTATAAAAAGTATGTTATTGTATTTCCTTACATTTCTTACATTCCAATCATTCTTTTCTTACATACCTTAACCTTCAGTTATACCTTTTTATTTTAATAGATAATTTCAAAGAAAATAGAGTTTCGGCAGGCAGACGTGTAGAACACTCTTTCAGTTTATTAACAATTTCAGTAAAATCGGTTATAGCACTAAATAAATTTATATACCATAAATTAATTTATGTTTTCCAGAAATGAAGACCTGAAGTTAATGCTAGATGGTTCAAAAGATTCTTTAAAACTGGAAGCAATGAAAAGGATAATAGGGATGATTGCTAAGGGAAGAGATGCTTCAGATCTGTAAGTATATTTATTCTTTACTCGAAAACTAAGAAACAGTTCTTAAGACTTCGTAAACATGAAATATAGAGTAAAAAACATAGCCTATGTTACTTACTGATTAATTACCTTTCTAAATGTGAAAGAATTTTTAAAATCGGCCCAGTAGTTTTTAAGTTATTTTATACAAGAATCCTGAAATACAATTCTTTCCTTTTTATATATATATTTTTTTAAATTAAAATGTTAGTAGATACTTGTTTATTTACTAATATTTCCTTTAACCATTTCAACTACACTTTAGGCTTGAATGGTGGGATTCGAACCCTCGACCGCAAGATTGGTAGTCTGTACCCCAAACCATTAGGAATTAGAGGCTTAATAGAAATAGAAATAATTTGATCAAAAACAAGAGATTAACAATAGCAGTTACTATGTTTAATCTGGTTATACTAACTGGCAGTTATACTAACTATGGTTAATATATTAATGTTTAATCTGGTGATGCCCACACTAGGCAATGCCTGTATTGTGTAATTTTAGTATAGATTGACAAATACACATTTTAGTGGCTTGTTAAATGTTGAAATAATTTTTTAGGTTTCCAGCAGTTGTCAAGAATGTGGTATCAAAGAATATAGAAGTAAAGAAACTGGTGTATGTATATTTGGTGCGATATGCAGAAGAGCAGCAAGATCTAGCGTTATTATCTATCAGCACATTCCAGAGAGCTTTAAAAGTAATATTTTTAAACTTGTATATCAATTTTTAACACATACTAAGTCTTAAAACCACATGCCTTTTTTATTTTATAAGAAAAAATTATAGTAGTGTGAACAAAATTAAATGAAAACCCACTATCTGCAGTTTAAGATTTGATATGAAAACAAAGAATTAAAAGACCATATTATCTTCGAAATTGACGAGGTATAAAATTAAAAATGTGTATATTAGAAGGAGTTTGAAGAAATTGTTAAACTCGAGTAATTGAGAAGCAAAATGGTGGGTAGATGTAATTTGAAAGTGTTAAGATTGAATGTGGATGGCAACAAAGGCTAGAGTAAGACAATGAAAGTATGTATGGATTGTGTGAAAGAGGATATGCTTAAGGGAGTGGATACAAATATGACAGCTGACAGAAATGTATGAAATTGCAGCACATGTATGACTTTGTAAGGACAAGGGCAATTTGATGATGATTAACTTCCAAACTTGTTTCCAGTATTTAGCTTGAAATTGTTAAGACCTCTAATTTACTAGTTCCCTATAGTTGTGTAATAAATTGACATCATATAATCATATAAATATTATAAATGCAAAAGTTATGATGGATGGATGGATGGATGGATGGATGTTTGTTAGCGTTTGTGGCATAAACAACTGAACTGATCTCCATTTAATTTGGCGCAAGTTTAGAGCATAGTCTGGAAGAACACATAGGCTACTTTTTATCTCGGGAATAATTACGGTTCCCGTGGGTTTCATTAATTTAGTTTTTTAATATTTACTCAATCGTTCAGCAAAGGTTCAACATATCTTATTGAAATTTAGCACAGATATAAAACAAAGTATGGAGTACACATGGGGTCAGGTTCATTCCCAAGAAATGTCCGGTTCCCGAGGGATACGTAGCTTTTCGTTGTTTATATAGTTTGTATGTTTTCTAATACCACGCGGACGAAGTCGCGGGCAACAGCTAGTATGATATAAATTCCTACATTATCTTTAACTTCAGGACCCCAATCAACTAATCAGAGCAAGCGCATTACGAGTGTTATCATCAATTCGTGTGACTATGATAGTTCCGATTGTAATGTTGGCGATACGAGACTCTGCCAGTGATATGAGTCCTTATGTTCGTAAAACTGCAGCACATGCAATACCGAAACTGTACAGGTATGATTCTATTTTAATATTTTCACTATATGTCCCCACTCGGCTCGGTACCTACCCTAAGTTAGGGGTGACTAAGCCATAGTCAACCACACTATACTAGGTTCACTTCACATGGGCAGGATTCACAATTTTTTTCTTCACCATAAGTATGTCAGGTAAAAAAAACATATCAAAATCTAATACATTTGTATGATGGTATTTGAACTCATGATCTGTAGATTACAAGTCAAATGCTTAAACCCCTGAGCGCAATTTAGACCCTTGTCACTACAACTGTAGATAATCTAGTTTACCTTATGTTGGAAATGTGTAAGAATTTTAGATTGCTTAAACTATCGTGAGACATTACTTTTAGCGAAAATTAATTAAAAGCGTGAGTTTAACCGTTTTTTATTAATTCTCGCTGTAAGAATTTTTATTTGAGTTGGTAAATTTTTAAGAGAAATGTGCATTGTGTTTAGTAAATTGGACATTGCTCTATGACAGGGGCAAACAGCCAATAGCAGCAAAGAAACAAGGTTGCCATGGTAACTTCATCAACCAATGACAAGGGTCGTATTGTTGTAATTTGTGTATTATAATCCTTGTGTTTTTTATATCTTTATTTGTATATTTTATCCAAATTTTGTATATTTTTAACTATATTTCTTTCAGTCTGGATCCAGAGCAGAAAGAAGAGCTTGTAGCTATAATAGACAAGCTCTTATCAGATAAAGCGCCGTTGGTGGTAGGCTCTGCCGCTATGGCCTTCTCCGAAGTGTGTGGAGATAGAGTCAGCCTTATACATCGGAGTTACAGGTAATTAACAAACACACATATTCCACTAAACAATACTAACATAATAAAATAAAAACACACACTACTTTATGGTGTAAGATGACAGCAATCGTAGCACATTTTTGAATAATTTAATCTTTAATAAAAAGTCCTACACTTACGACATGCTTTAAGCTATATTTTCACGCTATTAAATTTAGGGGTAAATGAATTGGAAAAAATATTCATGTGGGAAAAGGACCATAAACTACAAGCTGCCATTAAGAAAACAAGGTTGCCTTGTCATTTGTGGATTCAAATTTTGACATTTGCAATTGAGAATTTGATTAATTGTAGACAATAAAATCAAGTTTTTTTTAATTCAACGCTGGTAAAGCCGCACGGGTACAGCTAATTAAAGCGCCAATAGCCTAATGGTTAGAGGTACGGATTTTCGATCACGTGGTCGTGGGTTCGAATCCTATTCGACTAATGTAAACCATATCACAACACAAGTCTAGAGCTTAGTTGATATTGTCAAAGAAATAGTAAATTAACAAAATTCTACAAAAAAAATTCAGATTTTCAGTTTTCTGAAGATTCATGTTCATGAATTTTGTACTTTTTTGCTATATTTGATAGTTGCAGTGAATTGTTAAAGATGTATTTATTACAGGAAGCTGTGTTCTTTGCTAGCGGATGTAGATGAGTGGGGTCAGTTGGCATTGCTCAATGTGCTGACCGTGTATGCCAAGACTTGCTTCCCGGACCCCAATGAAGAGGTACTTTCTAATTATTATCATTTTTATATTAATTATCTTACTATACTAATTTTTTTAAATTAACTGGCTGTTGCTCGCGTTTTTAACCGCGTGGAATTTGAAAAATAGTAGGAATGTAGCCTATGTTGTTGAGTAATAATGTAGCTTTTTAATGGTGAAAGAATTTTTTAAATCTGTCCAGTAGTTTTTGAGTTATTTCAATACATGCAAAAATTTTAACAGTGGTAGACCCTGCTTTAACATCTTCGTACTGTAGTGTCGGCTAGCCAACAATACCACGACCACACAGAAGAAAGGCGTGAAGTGGGAGCAATTCCGCGTACAGTCTGATGAGTGTGGTACTGAAGGCCCAACTTTAGTCCCTTTTTCTTCCCACCTTTTTTCTTATAAGAGAAGGATGGGAAGGGAACCTGGATTTGACAGTCGAGGAGACGTATGTGAAAGGGACATCCTCTTAATGTTAGTCTCCTTCTCCGTTGATTGAGGGTAAACAACGCATTCGCTATTGCGAATATCTATGGGCAGCAGTTGCTTTGCCATTTCAGCAGTTGGACGTGGCCGCATAC